TAATAAATCAGCCTGAAAAGCCCCTACTTGAGAGCTGATGGTTATATAGGCTCATTGGTTTTCTTGGATATTTTCTCAGAAAACTGACATTTACTGGAAGGACTTAATTTTTTTTATGCAACAAAATATTTATTTTCCATAAAACAATGCAAAGAATGAGATATGCCATTTTGTAATTTTTTTGTTAAAATATAATTACTTTTAATACAGAATAATTTATCAAATGGTTTTAATCATACAAATGCCTTTTCAAATTTGATATGATGTGTGTTATGTATTTTAAATTTTTTTTAATATCATGGCATAACGTCATATGTTTGTCATTATGGTGTAAAATCAGCTATGAAAAGTGTTCTTTGGGGATTGTGAGCATTTTAAGTGACCACATGCATTTGAATTTCATGTAGCTGTATTCACCTGAGATATGGCATTTTAAGTTGATAGATTACGCTGTCATTCATATTCATGGGAACAGTAGAAAATATCAGATTATTTGTCTCTCATATTTTTTATTGACGCATCCGGGCAAAGGTTTTAATGGAAGTAAAAAATCTTATCCACGAAGGATTTGTGTGGTATCAGTGAAATGTAATCAAAACGCAATGTAGAGCCTTGGTTTGGAGTAGAAGCATTAAACATTCATACTCCTGTTTATTCCTTATGTTGGAATGTTGTGTAATTAGTGCACATGGTTTCTCTCCCCTGTGTTTGTTGCGGAGGCCACTTGTTGGGCAGGGTACGACCACCTTTTCGCGAACACCTGGTGTCATCTGTGTTTGATTCATAAACTTATGATGTAGTCGGAATGGTACTATCGACTATCGAGATTTGTTATGAGGGAAAGTTTTTTGTCGCTTTTATTGTTTTACAAAACACTGCCTTATAATGATAAGAAAAATTAATAGCATAATGTGGTGTAGTCAATGACTTTGTGGTGATATTTTTATATCATATATCACATAGTATGAGATAGCAACAGAATTAAAAAAATGTATTCTCATTGTCTGATATTGTTCATATCACATGCTCACATGCACTTATGCACACGCTCAAAACCTGCTCACTCACTCACTCACTCACTCACTCACTCACTCACCAACTCACTCACTCACTCACCAAATCACTCGCTCGCTTACTTGCCCACCCGCCCACTCACTCACTCACCAAATCACTCACTCACTCGCTCGCTCACTTGCCCACCCGCCAACTCACTCACTCACTCACTCACTCACTCGCTTACTTGCCCACCCGCCCACTCACTCACTCACCAAATCACTCACTCACTCGCTCACTTGCCCACCCACCCACCCGCCCACTCACTCACTCACTCACTCACTCACTCACTCGCTTACTTGCCCACCTGCCCACTCACTCACTCACCAAATCACTCACTCGCTCGCTCACTTGCCCACCCACCCACCCGCCCACTCACTCACTCACTCACTCACTCACTCGCTTACTTGCCCACCCGCCCACTCACTCACTCACCAAATCACTCACTCACTCGCTCGCTTACTTGCCTACCCGCCCACTCACTCACTCACTCACTCACTCATTTATTCACTGTATATCTCTATTCTATTTTCATAAATATCCTTGGTTCACATGCCACCATTTGAATGTGCTAAAAATAGCCATCAAATCAAATTATATCGATGAACCAAAGAAGCTGCGCAAACTTACTGATTAGAGAGATGGGTGGTGGGGACATCACTTCCTAAACGATGGTTTGAGCAAGAATGGATGTATAATACACTGAACTATGCATGCACACATGCATGCAACCAAACACACATCCCACACACTCATGATTTGATGCACGTGTTGGAAATTACCACGTCTTTAGTGTGGTGCTGACTCCATTGCCGGTGTTAAGTCTGAAAGTATAACCCCCCTTCAAAGTATACCAGGGTAGATTCTGGAAGCCCCCAGAAAACACCTCGGGGTATACCCCCGAACAGTAATCATTATTTAAAAAATCTCACACATTTCCTCATGCAATTCTCAACACCAACTTTCGAACTTACAAATTGATGATGACAACAATGAGTTAAAGTCAATGTGTTTTGTAAGATATTTTTTAAGTTTAAACAATATTTATTTCTTCGTTGCATGTATAAAACAACATTTTGAATTTTAGATTTGATAATTTATTATCATCTACACTGGGAATAACAATGTGAGAGAAAAATCACTTCCGCTGTTTGGTCAATCAATTTCAAAGGAAAACATCATTTGTGAATGAATCTCTACGTAGATTTTAGGTTAAAGCCATACAAATAATATCAAAACTCTTTTTACCCAATATAGTAGAGCACAGGAAGATATTGTAATATATATCATTTGGAAAGCGTGTTGCAGTATGCCAGTATACTGGTAATATTGTGCAGTCCAATCAGTGAATTGAACACCCCACACACTCCTGATTTGCTGCAGGTCTTAGACATTTACGACTTGCAAAAACCCACAAACACAGGTATGGTGCCGACATGGTTGCTGGTATTATACTTAAGGGTTGGTTGGTTTGTTGTTTAATGCCACACTCAGCAATATTCCAGCTATGTGACAGCGGTTTGTAAATAATGGAGTCTGGACCAGACAATCCAGTGATTGACATCATGAGCATGAATCCACGCAATTGGGGTACGATGACATGCATCAACCAAGTCAGCGAGCCTGACCACCTGATCCTGTTAGTCACCTCTTACGACAAGCATGGGTTGCTGAAGACCTATTCTACCCCGGATCTTCATGGGTCTTTACTTAAGGGACATAACCCTGCACAGTTAACTGAGGCAGACGACCGGCCATCTGCGCCCCTGATAACTCCTTTGACATGTAGCCGGGAAGTGACCTTGTCAAAGAATGATGGAGGTGAAACAAACTAGGTTGAAAGTTAATTAGTTTCTCTGTTTTCTGAAGTATTCATTGAAAGACTTGGCAATGACCTGGTCCCCATGACATTTAAAGTTTAAAACTGAAGAGAAGTAATCCCTGTCCTGTAGTTTAACCAGTTTGGGGTGAACAAATTTTGTTTGTTTGTTTGTAATATTCCAGCTGTATGATGAGCATCCATCTGCGCAATTGGGATAACCAAGTCACCAAACTTGGCAACGAATCAATTTAGTCGCCTCTTAAAACAGGCATAGGTTGCTGAGGAGTTATCACTGAAATCCTCACGGGTGGACAAATATTTCAGACTTTGGAGAGTGCTGGCAGATTTTACAGTGAACAGTGATTTTGTGCCTTTATCCCAAAGTTGGTGTTTGTCACATGGACAATTTTGAGAAGCACAAAATAGGCATCTCACATACTGGTGTGCACAGGCTCGCTGACTTGGTTGATGCATGTCATTGTATCCCAATTGCGTGGATTGATGCTCATGATGTCAATCACTGGATTGTCTGATCCACACTCAATTATTTACAGAGTGTCATCATATAGCTGGAATATTGCTGAGTGCGTAGTTAAACAACAAACAAACAAAACTTCTTCTAGTTATATGTACATCTAGTATATTTCCTTACATATTTAACATCACTGTAAAAGTACAATTAGAACCAATTGATCAAGCAATTATGTATTTACCTTTTAATCCAATATTTATGATTGTCTTTATTGACAAATAAAACATCAGGAGGAGACATGACTGAAAACATGGCGACACTTCCTGTTCACATAATAAAGTGCAAATCAAAGTTGGATTATGGGAATCAAAGCCGTGTGATGCTGCTAAAAATATCCAAGCAGTTAATTGACCAGTTTGAGGCGAGAGTGGCACTTTGTTGTTTTTGTCAAGTGGATGAAATAAAAACGAATTTGGACAAACATTTTCATACTATTGCAATATATTGTGAGGAATTTTGTGACCATGTGCCACCAAGATGTTGTGCCATTGATTCAGCTGTTGTTGATTTTTTATTGCTGATATGACTAATAAAGTACATGTAGATGTACACATTTTGTCAATCTTAGTGTAACTACACTGTACATAATTTGTTACAATTGTAATTGTTCATTGCTGTGGTTGGTTGTAGCTCACCTGCACAATGTTGGTTTGTTGTTTTACGCTGCACTCAGCAATATTTCAGCTATATGACAGCAGTCTGTAAATAATCGAGTCTGTACCAGACAATCCAGTGATTGATAGCATGAGCATTCAGCAAGTCAGCGAGCCTGACCACCCAATCCTGTTAGTCGCCTCTTACGACAAGCATAGTTGCCTTTTAGGGCAAAAATGGGTTGCTGAAGACCTATTGTACCCCGGATCTTCACAGGTCTCATTGCTGTGAAATATATTTCAATATATCATCACATACCGTATATCGCTGTGTATAAGGCGAGGTTTGTTTCCCTAGAATGAGGTTGTTCAGAAGGGGGTCATCTTATACATGGGATAGAAGATCTCACGTTTTTTTACAGTTGTTTCACTTTCAGCTTCCACTGGCGATGTCAACCAGCATTCGATAGCCAGCCCGGCATTTTGTCCTGCATAACTGTTCCAAGAACTATTTCCATACATAAACCTGAATTGTATCTGTATCTGTATCCGGGTACACATGTTATGTTCTTAATTTCTCATTTATGCAATCGTATTGCCACAAATGTATAATACTGTTACTTGATCTGTCTAAATATTCATGCCTCAATATTTGTAATGTACGGATCCCACCAGGTCCCACCCGGTCCCACCAGACCCAACCCGGCCCACCAGGTCCCACCTGGTCCCACCAGGTCCCACCAGGTCCCACCAGGTCCCTCTAGGTCCCACCAGGTCCCTCTAGGTCCCACCAGGTCCTACCAGGTCCCACCAGGTCCCACCAGGTCCCACCAGGTCCCACCAGGTCCCACTAGGTCCCACCAGGTCCCACCAGGTCCCACTAGGTCCCACTAGGTCCCACCAGGTCCCTCTAGGTCCCACCAGGTCCCACCAGGTCCCACCAGGTCCCACCAGGTCCCACCAGGTCCCACCAGGTCCCACCAGGTCCCACTAGGTCCCTCTAGGTCCCACCAGGTCCCTTCCAGTCCCACCAGGTCCCATCAGGTCCCACCAGACCCCACCAGGTCACATCAGGTCCCACCAGGTCCCATCGGTCCAAGATAAAAGGGTTCTTCTGCATACGAAATGGCAAAAGTAGTATCAAAAATCTTCAAAGTTATATACCTAAGTGAGGCAGTACAACATTTTCAATCATTGTTGTAATATATCAGTTTCGACAATACGAAATGGCACAGTTGACATTGTACAATATAAAATCATTAACCTACAATGGTGAACACAAGCAAGTCTCCCAGCAATGACCAGAGTGAGACATTTACTGTTTTCAACACACTCTGAGTAATCGGGAAGTATTTCATTTGCACCTTAATTTACATAGAGGAATCCTAGCATCTCCTGATGTCCCCAACTCAGATTATTGATTTCCTCTGCCTTGACAATGGGCTAGGCAAATACTCTCTTTACTCACACTTTATTCCATTAAGTTGCGAACTTAAAATCAATGATAATCTTTGAAAAAATATTTTTCTATCCATGGTGAACCTTTTACTGTAGGGTATTCTACATTTTATGTAAATCATAACATAATTAAATATTTCAAGTTGGCGTCAAGGCAAATATTAATCATTGCTGGATTGTTAGCTCACCTGGTCGTGTCTGGACACAAGAGGATAATATTTATTGTCATTGTCCGAACTTTTGTGTCAAATGAATTTTCTGTTCGTCTATTCATCTTCTCTATTTTCTACCTTTCCTCCATGAAACTAATGTAGGTTTCACCAAAGTGATAAACATTTGAGACCTGCATCACTTCAGGCTTTCATCGCACATTAAACCTGACACATCGTGATATAACTGGAATATATTCAAAGCAGCGTTAAACCCAACTCCTCACTCACTCTTTGAAGCTGAAATGTTCTTTTACTTATCTCAGCAAGACAATCTGTGTGATGAATGTTAGTTTAGTTATGGCTGCCATCTTTAAAGGCCACTTTGTCTGATTATTCCTCCATTTTTCAAAGTGTAATCTGCAATACTGTCAGTCGGTTGTATTTGCAAAAAGATATATTGCATATTTGTATTCTCACACTTTTGACACATTCTTTATAAACACTGGAATATATGAAGTTGATATATAGGATTCCAACAGAATTTCAGAGTGCCAGAATGTGGCCAAGACAAGGAGAAAGTCATTGGATTCCTGTGGGAATTTCTGTCCCAACAAATGTATTTATGTATGGTTGTGAATTTGGGTAATGGGAGGGTCCTGTGCTACAAAGATACTGGCTCTTGATGATCTCGACACCCATACTCTATCATAGAATAATGAGCTGCTAAGATTGCTGTGTGGAACTTGTCCCTAGACAACAAATATGGGACATTTTGGGGGTAGATATCATTTTTGTGTTGACTTGGCTGAAGCAACCATTTCAGTACACTAACACTAAGTCTATGAAAACATTTCTTTAATATTATTGTAATTTGTTTTTTCAAAAGAACCTTTCTTCTTTCGTGTGAAATCAATAAAACTAGACTTGGTTTGGTTTGATCTAGACTTGCCTAAGCTTTTAGTAAAAATGTATGCATATTTCACAGTCATGGCTCAGCACTACCATTTTGGAAATCTTAATCCCTGGATATAAAACAATGCCTAACTGAACAAAAAATACAATTTAAACGGTAAATCAACATGTCTGGTGATTTTTTATCTCAAATTTCGAATTTCTACTGACGAAGTTTCTCATCACCCGTTCGTTTGCCGGACTTTGCTGAAAGGGTACGGTGTAATTTTTTTCTGCGCATAATATTCAAATTTCTTTTTTTCCAAAATATTGAACCCGCTAGAGGGGGGTGCGCATTATACATGGGTGCGCACTATACTCAAGAAAATATGGTAATTGGATTGTCCCAACTCTTAGCCAATGATATGTCATTGTGTTATTGTGTGTAAACTCCACACTGAGTTCAATCCCATGAAGCAATCTCTCTGTATGAAGAACTCACATAGAAGGTCCCATCAGGTGAAGATTCTAATCAGTGTCTAGGCTTCTAACTTCTTGGTACAAGTGAGCAATAAGTATTCAGACAAGCATATTTGATTTTTGCATATTGAAAACAATCATAATTGGGCAGTTCGGAATGCAAAAACTTAAAGCTGCACGTTTATTTTGTAGATGTGTTACACATCCAGGATTTTCTGAGTGCTATGACATCTACACCCAGATGGATGTACTGTCAAAGGGATTTTTGTTTTCTGTGGCATTTTCAATTTTTTCCAAATCAAGATGTTTGACAAATGAAGCCAAATTGTTTTAGAAAGCGTATAGCAGGTTAGCTGAAGAAACCACCCATCCTTCATTATGATTGGGCAGTTAAAATTTACTTTGGTTTGACCTGACATGACCTTTAATGAAGGTGTCGTCAGACCTTCGGCGGAGTGGACTCCTACCAGAGTCAAAAATGTTAATGAGATTGCACTGAGTGTGATTTTGACATTTAATTTAAGCTCATAACATTAAAAGAAACTGCTTGTCTGTCAACAAAGTCAATGAATATTTCACTTAATCAAAACTATATAGTTTCATGTACCATATTTAGTTATGATGTAATGAGTTTCAAAATATTGTTTCTGTCACGTACAAGAGTGTAAAAAACGAATCGAATGGCGCATGAATCACTATGAGAGTGATAACACAAGATCTTCACATTTACTGTACAAGTCCTCTACAGGTAGCGCCACCTCTCATGTGTGAAGAGCATCTTTTCTGTAATTGTCCTTCAGATAAGGTTTCTGAAGTAATTAGAAATAACATGCAAGCTTTTAGAGATGACAGATTCTCTGCCCAGAGTGTATTCATGTTGTAACTCTGGAGCCGATTAATACTGGTATTGTTAGTTCAGAGCAGAGAGTCAGTTGATATTGTCCCAAGATAAGGTATTGTCCCAACACAAAATTTTAACAAAGTCTAGGTCAGTGTCCAGATTTCTTAGATTGTTGAGTTTTCATGATTGTCCAACAGTGATTGCAATTTTGTGGAGTTGATTATGTCTATCTCGTTGGTTTGTTGTTTAACGCCGCACTCAGCAATATTCCAGCTATATGACGTCAGTCTGTAAATAATCGAGTCTGGACCAGACAATCCAGTGATTGATATCATGAGCATCGATCCATGTTTTTGGGATCAATGACATGTATCAACCAAGTCAGCGAGTCTGACCACCCGATCCTGTTAGTCGCCTCTTACTACAAGCATAGTCACCTTTTACAGCAAGCATGGGTTGCTGAAGACCTATTCTACAACCGATCTTCACGGGTCATGTCCATCTTGATCACATTAAATTGACATGCAGTGATATTCTGGAAATCCTGTTCAAGGAAGCAACAGTCCACCATCTGACTTACTCATTAAATGCATGCTTGTCATTTCTGTGGTAAATGCCGTATATGACCGTACATAAGCCGATCTCAAAGGTAAGCCGAGGTATTAACTTGGTTCTTGAAATCTGTATCAAAAGTTTATGTGCGGTAAATAAGCCAGAACCCCAACCCTACGTCTTGTCATGATCTGTCATCGGAAATCGGAATATCAACAAATCTGTATTGAATTGCGCAAGTTAATCCTGTCATCACATCATCAGTAATAAAAAGTGTTTAATTGTATATCTGGACTCATGTTTGTAATCTACGTAATCTATTTTATTAATTTTGATCAAACTTTCATTCAGTAATATTTACATTAATTTTTAGTGTCCACTCGGTACCTACAGGTTCTGTTTGCTCCATTCCATAAAGTCTGCTTTACCAACTCACCGTTATTTACAGCAACCACGATCCAATTACCCCTATTGACACCTTGAAACAAACCTAAGTTGACAGAAAATGGAAACATATATCAAAACTGCCATACTTTGACTCGTTAAAAGTAATATTTGTTGTAGTTTGACCGTTTAATGTTAACATATTGTTTCTGCCATGGAAATAGAGAGATCATGCGAAACCTAAACAGTGATTTGTTAAATTGTTCCATGCAAAAAACAGTATCTGAAAGTACATAAAAGTGCCTCTGCATAACCCAGGTAATGGTTATCATTATTATGAAGATATATAGTAAACCTGCAATTAAAATAACCGATATAAGAATATATTATTCATAGTAAAATAGTAATTTAAGTTTGGACAAGTTGGATACCAGGTGTTAAAAAAAGTAGAACATGTTCTATGTGTGCTAGTTCTTCACAGAGATGTAGAACATGGACATGCTCTAACAACGAAGGCATCACCTGGTGAGTCGAAATTGGGTTTAATGTCGTGTCCAATATTATTGCACTTATATAGCGACGTGCATGTACGTGTGTGTGTGTGTGTGTGTGTGTGTGTGTGGCTGCTTGTACTTATAAGTCCGCACTGATTGCCGATTTATACTGCTAGCTCACTGAGATACCATGCCGCAGTTTAACATGAATACCCCACTCAGACAACAGTATACTGACCAGTCCTTGTTTTAGCCCCTTAATGCTGAGCACCAGACGGGGTAGCAACAAGTACCATTTTTTAATGTCTTTTGGTATGACGCTGCCGGGTATCAAACGCCAGACCTTCTGCTCTCCGGGCGGACGCTCTACCACTAGACCACGGAGGCGGTCGCTTCACCTTGTAAAATATGATATAATTAGAATCATAACAAGGGACTTTTAACAGAGATTTCTTCTGATTTTGGAAAATGTTTTGTTGCATTTATTTATTTTCATCTATATATATGTGTCAGAGTTCAATACACTAATTGTGTCAGTGTCACCAGGTCAAAGTGACATGCTGAGCATCGCAATATTGATATGACATATGTCAACAAAGCCAATATGATTTTTATAAATGGTACTTCAAATTCCTTTTCACTTTGAGTACACGATCAATGTTATTGATATCTTCAACACCTTTTTCTCGTCAAAAACTGCCCAATTTATCACTGACATGAGTTTTAGGTAATGAGGACTTGGATTTCAACCATGTCCTTTTTATCACCCGATTACATCAATGGTTATGTGGGGATACATCAAACATAGTGCCGAGCATTTAAAAAGATAAAGTTTCGCGGTATTGATCCTCACAACCTCCATGCTGTGTATGTACCAACCTGCTGATATTGCCTGAAGATTTTCTAGGATCTTGTTGAGAGGAGGATCATTAGCCAACTCAGCCGCTTCCGACCATAGTAGGAGAAGTACGAGAACTGCCGGGAAGAAGTATTATAGAAAGCATTGATGCTACGTTTCTTGCAACCTGCATTTGTTTTCCTATTTCTAATTGCCAAGCTAATGATAGTGTTGGTTATTTCTGACTGGGGCATGAGAGCTGGTTTGAAATAGGCCTTCAACAAATTTGCCATGGTCACTTGATGACTGAAATATGCCGCATATGGTCATCTTCCTGAGCCAAGGGAGTTAACCGACTTCAAGAGTCCAGTTACCACCCTTGCCGAACTAGGCTGGAATTACGGAGTTACAATTTGGCTGGACTAATGAGTCTTTGCATAGTCCAATCAAAATCCTGTAGCAAAATCAACATCCAGTTCATAAACAACATGGCAACTGCCGTGCCAAATTAATTCAATTGTAGGATTTGCAGAACATATGTACCGTCAACTCAGGTTTGACAGATATGTCCAAATGTTTTCATGTTTTTTCAAGGTGCTCAGGTGATGTGAAGCATTTCCCAAGATAAAACCTGTTTTATTACAATAAAGATCTTTATTGTCGATTTGTTTGAAGCAAATGTAAGTGATATGAGAGGTGGAATCTGATTAGTCAGTAGCGAGGGCATAGAAGGGACATAACCACTGGTGATGCTATGATCAAGCCAAGAAATTCCAGCTTATTTCGGCAAGGGTGGAAACTGGACTTTTAAAGTCAGGTAACTCCCTTGCCTCAGGAAGATGACATATGGTACTCTAGAGATATGTTCATCCTGGCAAAGGCCACCGTCGCTCCACGAAATGTTGTCACAGGCAAAGATGTAATGTACATTGTTGGTCACTGAAAGATACCCATTTCTTTAAACCATGAGCACATTATCCTTGCATTCCTAGCTGTTTGCCAGCCATGACTGTCCTTGGGCTTATGGTTGGCCTGATCTTGTAGCTTATAGGTTAGGTTAGAGAACTGCCTTCCTTTAAGTCTCAGTTAAACATTCACTTCTTCAGACATGCATACCACTAAAGCACAAGTCAGAGCTGTTTTTTCCCTTCACCTTTGAGTAAGGGCGGTCGGGTAGCCTAGTGGTTAAAGCTATCACTCGTCATGCCGAAGACCCGGGTTCGATTCCCGCCATGGGTACAATGTGTGAAGCCCATTTCTGGTGTCCCCCGCCGTGATATTGCTGGAATATTGCTAAAAGTGGCGTAAAACCATACTCACTCACTCACCTTTGAGTAATTGTCACTATCTGGATACAGATGCTCTACAAATTATTATTATGATAATTATTATTAGCTTAATGGACTTCTGGATCATATTCCACAAAGTGAGTTTAGTGCTTAGACCTGCTAATTCCTATACTTTTACAAAGCTGAAGTGCTTATATTACTTCATGAATCGGGATCAAGAGTAATTCAAAAGCATTTTGGGGATGCCAGTTGGCTTTGCACATTTGGTGGAATGAAGGAACTGAACCATTGTTTGTTTGTCAACATCTATCATATGTACCACATCCCTGATGTAGAAGTGTCTCACTGGAGAGTATTTCAGAAACTGACCATATATTCATAGCCATGACCCAAACTAGTATTCCAGGGCAGAATAATCCTCTACATGTTGATCTGTGTGTGTCTAAGGATCAGGCACCTTGGGGACTCCAGGTTAGACTAGGTCCCCTGTGTCGGTTGGAAGAGGCAACCAAGTAGATCCATGGTGAGGCTCGGTGACGTGGATTGTGTGTCATCGTTCCCCCGACAGCATCGATCATTGCTCACAATGTCAGTCACTGGTTTGTCTGGTTCAGACTCAAGTATTTACAAGTCACCATCACTTAATAGCTTGAACATTGCTGAATGTGGTGTTAAACAACAAACAAACACACATTGAGAATCTGGTGGCTACAATGTGTGAATTGGCTGTCATTGTTCCTCCAAAGTGTTGATGGCAGCTCATGCAATCAACCACAGGTTTACTGGCCACAGATTTACTGACCACAGGCCACAGGTTTGCTTGCCACAGGTTTACTTGCCACAGGTTTACTGACCACAGGCTGACTGGCAGGTTTACTGGCCACAGGTTCACTGACCACAGGTTTACTGACCACAGGTTCACTGACCACAGGTTTACTGACCACAGGTTCACTGACCACAGGTTCACTGGCCACAGGTTTACTGACCACAGGTTCACTGACCACAGGTTTACTGACCACAGGTTTACCTACCACAGGCTCACTGACCACAGGTTCACTGACCACAGGTTTACTGACCACAGGTTCACTGACCACAGGTTCACTGACCACAGGTTTACTGACCACAGGTTTACTGGCCATGGGTTTACTGACTACAGATTTACTGACCACAGGTTTACTGACCACAGGTTTACTGACCACAGATTTACTGACCACAGGTTTACTGACCACGGGTTTACTTGCCACAGGTTTACTGGCCACAGGTTTACTGACCACAGATTTACTGACACTAAGTTCACTGGCCACAGGTTTACAGACCACAGGTTCACTGACCACAGGTTTACTTACCACAGGTTACCTGACCACAGATTTACTGACCACAGGTTTACTGACCACAGGTTTACAGACCACAGGTTCACTGGCCACAGGTTCACTGACCACAGGTTCATTGACCACAGGTTTACTGACCACAGGTTCACTGGCCACGGGTTTACTGGCCACAGGTTTACTGGCCACGGGTTCACTGACCACAGGTTTACTGACCACAGGTTCATTGACCACAGGTTTACTGACCACAGGTTTACCTACCACAGGTTTACTGACCACAGGTTTACTGGCCTCAGGTTCACTGACCACAGGTTCACTGACCACAGGTTTACTGACCACAGGTTTACTGACCACAGGTTTACTGACCGCAGGTTTACCTACCACAGGTTCACTGACCACAGGTTTACTGACCACAGGTTTACTGACCACAGGTTTACCTACCACAGGTTCACTGACCACAGGTTCACTGACCACAGGTTTACTGACCACAGATTTACTGACCGCAGGTTAACTGACCACAGGTTCACTGGCCACAGGTTTACTGACCACAGGTTCACTGACCACAGGTTTACTGACCACAGGTTTACTGACCCCAGGTTTACCTACCACAGGTTCACTGACCACAGGTTCACTGACCACAGGTTCACTGGCCACAGGTTTACTGGCCACGGGTTTACTGACCACAGATTTACCTACCACAGGTTCACTGACCACAGGTTTACCTACCACAGGTTCACTGGCCACAGGTTCATTGACCACAGGTTCACTGACCACAGGTTTATCTACCACAGGCTCACTGACCACAGGTTCACTGACCACAGGTTCATTGACCACAGGTTCATTGACCACAGGTTCACTGGCCACAGGTTCACTGACCACAGGTTTACTGACCGCAGGTTTACCTACCACAGGTTCACTGGCCACAGGTTCATTGACCACAGGTTCACTGACCACAGGTTTATCTACCACAGGCTCACTGACCACAGGTTTACTGACAACAGGTTCACTGACCACAGGTTCATTGACCACAGGTTCACTGACCACAGGTTTACTGACCACAGGTTCATTGACCACAGGTTTACTGGCCACAGGTTTACTGACCACAGGTGTACTGGCCAAGACTGGGGTTTTTACAGCCTACTTTTACATAACTTGTAAAATTGGTGACTTCTATGTTACTGACTACCATGCTACACAACATTCACTCACTCAGTTCACACTGCTGGGGTATGATGACACGCAAATGCAGCCAGCCCAGGATTAAAATATCTTTGTCTGTCCAAGTCTTAACTGATCTGAGCCATAAAGACCACCTCGTCCATATTTCTTCATCTTGGTTCACAGTCATTGAATGTTGTGGTTCAAATGAATGCGATTTTTATTATGGGAAGGGAAGGGGCCTTAGCTCTTTATACTAACATAGATTATATTTTGTGTAGAATTTACCACCAAGCAATCAATATGTCGGGAAGATTATTTTCATATTACGAGTTAATTTTAATGAATTTGTGTTTGATAATAAAGTTATTTTGCTTTTGGTCACAATTCTGATAATGTCAATACTAAAAAGGTATATTGCCCAGTTCTTAATTCACTGCATATGTCCCTTGTGGGTAGGAATACGGAGGATTTAGGGCGGCACAATTCAATATACAGAGTTCCATAGTCATACAAGACAGGGGGACACCGGGCACCGGGCATGAGTTGCGTCCCTTGGGCACGCCAGAAACCTATGATTGTGGGTTTGAATTCCCTACATGTGTGCAATGTATGAAGCCCATTTTCTGGTGTTCCCCACTGTTAGATTGTGGGAATATTGTTAAAGGCGATGTAAAACAATACTCACTCACTCCATAGTGATGCCAGGATATGTTGCTGACATGCTGCTGTCTGTGGGTTTCACCAAAGTAAACAAGTAAACATGTGAACTTCTCCACCACCACTGATCATGGTGTCAAATCCAAGATTCTCCCTGATGAGGATGTTTGGCAGTAAGAACTGTTGCTGTGCTTGATATCATCTACAAACTGCATCCCAGGATTCAGGGATTCCAGTTGAGAATTGATCCCCAGCAGCCTATGCTTGTCATAAGAATTTACCGAATGGATTGGTTGGTCTGACTCGCTGACTTGGTTGATTGCATGTAAACATACCCTGATGGCGTGGTTCATTGTTCATAATATCGATCACTATATTATCTGATCCAACTTTAAATTCTTACAGGCCACTGTCATAGAGCTGGAATATTGCTGAGTGCAGGAGTACACAACACACCATGATACAGTTGAACCCCACCTATCCAGATGGTTTCAAGGAATCGTCTGGATAAATGAATTTCTGAATATGTGAATCACTTTGTAAACTGATCAGAATTAGATCCCCGGCACAACTCAAACATAAGATAAAACAAAAAGCTTGATTTCTTAATTGACACTTATTTCCTCACTAAAATAGGGCTAATAGTCAATCAATCATTCCAAGCAGGATCATAATCAACTGTGATCAAATGCTACCCGCCCTTTTGATGTTGGCTGCCATATGATGACCTACTAAACAAACAACATCAATCACTGATGCTGTCAGGGAACTTGAGCATGATAGTGTGCAATTGCATTGTTGGTTTGTGAAGTTCACTGCCAAGTTCCAGAAAACGGATTTATGGACAACACAGAGCATTTCATATTGTAATGTTTTTGTTTTTCTTAAAAATTATCCAGTAGGTGGGCAAATGGACTCTAAACAAACCTGAGGGTTCCACTGCATATGTTAAGCACTGGCCAGAGTGTGTTAAACCCAACACTCCTCCAGTACTGAGTATAATTGATGACTAGTTGTAACTTAAGAGATTTTAATTAATGATTTTTCAGTTCTAATTCATGGTCAATCATTAGTGATTGATTAATAAATCATCAAGTGATCATTAATCGATCACTAATCAGTCACTAATCAATCTTTGATAATTAATTCTTTTTTGAAACATTTTGGTGTGAAGTCGTATATTCTCTTGGCAGGGCAACCTGGTCCCTTCTGTAGGTGTAGCAGGATATGTGTGTGGCATATATGGAAATTGCAGTCGCTAACACACTTTGTATGTCTCAAGGATATGGTAATACACATAGAACATGGAGACAAGTCTTGAAACACGGCTGACCTCAGAAATACACTTCCTTCCTCCGTGATGGATGACTATTGGTGAATTACGCTCTCAGAACCTGGAGGAGTGGTCATTATGGCCTGACCTGCAGACGATAGCAGATTATGGTAAATGATTCTTCCCTGGCGGAAGGATGATTGTTTAAGAGCAAAAACACTGTGGTAGATATGGTAGACCTTTCGATGCCGACAGTGATGGTTGGTTTAGTGTTGGGGAGGTGCCGGCCGATGGGCATTTAAGATGTGCACTTGTGTACCATTCCATGGTGGTGCAGCTGTCTGGAGAGGTTGCTGGTTTTATTTATACAGAACCTACTGGCCTGAAGACTTGCTTCCCTCTTGGGTTGGGGGATATATTGGGGCCAGGCACTGACCTAGCAAATATTTGGTGTGGTGTTCTATTGTGTTGTGATAGCAGCATTAGAGTTGAGGATTACCTACTTTCAGTGACTTAATAGAGTTGAATGTCCATGCCAACATGTGCAATGTAGGTGATGGCCATTGGTGTGGTTAAGTTAATGATATAAGGATGATGGTGGATATGAGGATGATGGTGGATATAAGGATGATGGTGAATATAAGGATGGTGGTGAATATTGTATTATATAAGGATGATATTGAATATAAGGATGATGGTGGATATAAGGATGAAGCTGGATATAAGGATGATGGTGAATATAAGGATGATGGTGGATATAAGGATGAAGCTGGATATAAGGATGATGGTGAATATAAGGATGATGGTGGATATAAGGATGATGGTGAATATAAGGATGGTGGTGAATATTGTATTATATAAGGATGATATTGAATATAAGGATGATGGTGGATATAAGGATGATGGTGAATATTGTATTATATAAGGATGATGGTGTATATAATGATGATGGTTGATATAAGGATGATGGTGAATATAAGGATGATGGTGGATATAAGGATGATGGTGAATATAAGGTGATAGTTGATAAAAGAATGGTGGTGAATATGAGGATGGTGGTCAATATAAGGATGATGGTGGACATATAGGGATGATGGTGAATATAAGGATGATGTGAATATGAGGATGGTGGTGAATATAAGGATGATGGTTGACATAAGGATGATGGTGAATATAAGGATGATGGTGAATATAAGGATGGTGGTGAATATAAGGATGATGGTGGACATAAGGATGATGGTGAATATAAGGATGGTGGTAATATGAGGATGGTGGTGAATATGAGGATGATGGTTGATATAAGGATGATGGTGGATATAAGGATGATGGTGGACATAAGGATGATGGTGAATATAAGGATGATGGTGGATATAAGGATGATGGTGAATATAAGGATGAAGCTGGATATAATGATGATGGTGGACATAGGGATGATGGTGAATATAAGGATGATGGTGATATAAGGATGATGGTGAATATAAGGATGATGGTGAATATAAGGATGAAGCTTGATATAAGGATGATGGTGAATATAAGGATGAAGCTGGATATAAGGATGATGGTGAATATAAGGATTATGGTGGATATAAGGATGATGGTGAATATAAGGATGATGGTGAATATAAGGATGAAGCTGGATATAAGGATGATGGTGAATATAAGGATGAAGCTGGATATAAGGATGATGGTGGACATAAGGATGATGGTGGACATAAGGATGATGGTGGACATAGGGATGGTGGTGAATATAAGGATGATGTGTATGTAAGGATAATGGTGGACAATGAATCAACCAAACTGTGAGGTCAGTTTTGGACAATTATGACAGACATAGAAATTCCCAGGTTTTAAATCTCTCTGAACCAACCATCAGCAACACAGACTGTGACACGTACACACACACACACACACACACACACACACACACACAGACACACACACACACAAACACACACACACACAGACACACACACACACTCATGTTTTCTTGACAGAAGTGCGTCACATTCAGAACACAAGAGGTAAGTGGCAGGAGTGTATAAACATGAAATGATCATGCTCAATGACGTGAAGAACATACGATGACATCACAATGTGACGCAGCATCTGAGGTGAGGTGAAATTGGGTTTAACGTCGCGTCCAAGATTATTGCACTTATATAGCGACGTGCATGTACGTGTATGTGTGTGTGTGGCTGCTTGTACTAGTCCGGACTGATGCCGATTTATAGTGCTAGCTCACTGAGATACCATGCCGCAGTTTAACATGAATACCCCACTCAGACACAGTATACTGACTCCGAGCCGACCAGTCCTTGTTTAAGCCCCTTAATGCCGAGCGCCAGACAGGGTAACAACAAGTACCATCTTTTAACGTCTTTTTGTATGACGCGGCCCGGGATCGAACCCTGGACCTTCCGCTCTCCGGGCGGACGCTCTACCACAAGACCACGGAGGCGGTCCGCAGCATCTGACTTCTTATCATAAAGGGAATTATTTATGCATCCATATTGAGACTGCACCCTTCATTAAGTGTTACGTATGCCTGCGTCAGCCCCAAGGTAACCACTGTCTGCACAATGGCTGGTTGCTTTCTCCACTGTGACTTTTTCATTTATATTCGTCATTGTACCATCCCAAGAGAAATGTTTTTTTACAAAATCAATGGCTTATGTTTTATTTAAAGAAAGGTTGTCATATCTGAAGCAATGTAGACCTACAAGTTTATTCTTGCCTATTATCAAGTATTGAAGGACGACTGGAAAGGTCATGTGGTATTATCTACCAGTGAACGGAAATAAAACTACTGGCTTTGTAAGATATTGTGAATATAATTTCATTTTAAGTATGCCCAGGTAGGCATCAGTACTCTTTGGTTTATAGATTAGAAATATATCCAGTCCAACCGTACTGAACTGCCTCAGCTTCCCATGTGGTATTACAGAGAGATGGCATTATTAGGAGTCTAACTGGGCATTAAAAGGTGAATGATTTCCTGGTATGTAGTCATTTGATTAGCATTGTACATCAAGGTATATTTTGATTTTCAAGGCACGTTTTAAGCATTGTACAATTTTTCTTCTTCTTTGATAGGCATTTAGAAGTTTAGACAACTGGGCCACAGGTGCCCCCCCTCCACAGTAAACTTATACAGTTTTTTACTATAACTAATGTAAAGCAGATGTCATAGATGTCATGTCTTGGCAAATTTCTTTACAGAGTATGTCAATTAAGAAATAAGGAATTATAGTCTAGTTTATTGTTCATGTGTATGGTAATATTCAGTCACCAATATCAAAAGTTGAAATATGTAATGCATTGTACTGATAAGCTATAACGCTAAAGGTCAATTAAACCTTGAATTGATAGATGGAATATTATCATGGTGTAAATAAAACATCAAACAAACTTTTTGAGCAAGTCTGACCACCTCATCTCGCCTGTTACAACCAGCATAGCTCTCTGGGGACCAACTCTAACCTGTAAGCCACACTCACTCACTTACTCTCACTCACTCATTCACTCGCTTACTCACTCGCTCGCAAACCCACCCACTCACCCACCCACTCACTCACTCACCCATTCACTCACTTGCTCGCTCGCTCGCAAACCCACCCACTCACTCACTCACTCACTCACTCACTCACTCACTCACTCTACTGACGCAACTCCCTTTATAATTACCCAATTTTCTCAAACTTGTAATAAATATGATTTCGATCAATTAAATTATCTTCTACTTTACTAAGACATTATAAATTGGAAGTCTTCTCAACTTTTTGTATTCTTACAAAGATTATCAAATTAAAAAAACCAAATGGTTTGATTAAAATCAGATCTGTTATTTTACATGAAATTTGAAACACCCAACTTTTCACCAAGATGCCATCAATGCTTGGGGTTGATTCAGAGTAATGTTGAGATCGGCAGTTTTAATCCAATCAATCAACACAATGAAAACATGTTGATTTCTTGATTACCTGTGAACAGTAATTGTCACCTCTGCCTCGGGTTATAACAATCCGGGTTTGTTTATGCCTGGATGGCGTAATCCATTCTCACAGGCTAAACATGTGTTATTCAAGAAAACAGTTATTGGCATATGCCGATTTCATTGTTATGTCTGTCACAATATCTCGCTTGATTAGCAATCACCAAGGACAGGTTTTCTACTTCCGGAGATACTGATGAGATAGCCGTAGGTGAGATCAGTTGACACACCTTGAGACTCGCAGTGGTCCAGTAATTATGTTAGACGAGCGTCCATTGCAAGCGATCACACATCAAAGGGGGGACGTTAAAGGAATCAATAAGTAATACATTTTTAGGTCAAGAAATTGGTTTGATTTTCCCGATTCCTTCTGTTAATTTGGAAATTGATGAAGAAATTTTGAGAGTCATCGAGATAAAAAAATCCAATACTTTATTACGAGTGTTGTCCTCATGCTATAAGGAGTACAATGCCGACTAGCCACACCGAGAGTATTTTTAGCAGTGGCATGAGCCTAAATGTCATGTTTGATGAAATTATTTCATCACCAGGAAACAAAAGCAATTACATTTCTCTTGATAATATTTTTTGAAAAATCTATATTTGAACATTTTATTGATCACAGGAGCGTCTTGCCTATGGTTTCTGTGAAGTCTCATGCATTGACCTTTAGTGACAGAAACTCTGCAAGTTTCAACTTTAATTAGCAAGGCACAGATTTAACGTATGGCACTTGTCAAAATTAGAATGTCTTGCATTGAGATACCCCAAAATATAGATGTCATAAGATAATTCTCTGACAGTCAGTGTGTCTAATAGGATTAAATTTAAATTCGAATTGAAATTTTTATATTTTCTGCCAGTTTAAAAAAATTTAATCAATTATGTGGGTGTGTTAAACATACTTTCACAGGGTCAGCGTACTGGTAAGAACATATGTTTTACACTTGGTAAAACAGTCTATGTATATGAAGAAACTGTACTGCATTACTGTAAAAATAACCCACCTGTTCGTAACGATTGTTGACCAGATGGTTATAAAACATCTTAAATTGTGTGTGTCTGATATATTAAGTGCATTTAGTAGCCCTGAATAGGATATTGATTGTATTCAATGTGAGATAATGGCTAAAAGTCTCATCGACA